AAAAAGCCAGAGCCAAAGCAGCCAGGGCAGATGCTATTACCACCCAGACATTTGGCTCTGTGTGGTCTCTGCCCAGACACAGTTCTCCTGTGGGTCAGCAGCTTTTCTAGATGCAGGAAAGTGGGAAAGCATTATCCAGGACAGCTCCCAAGCAAACACGCTGTTGCTGCCAGCAAAGAGGCTGCACGAGTGGAGGAATAAGCAAGGTGCTGAGGGCTGGCAAAGTCATCAGTGAGAAGGGACTTGTGAGGAGGGAAGATCAGCATGTGGGACTGGGGGCTGACTGCTAGCAAAGGGAGTCATTTGGAGCTAACTTGTGAGTCTACAACAAGAAGAGAAGCAAGCTGCAGCTTGGAAAGGGTACATGGCAAGTCAATTCAGCTTCTTTTCCTCACACACATGGGTAGATCAAACAGGACAAGCCAAGCAAACTGAACAACGTATGCGATGACAAAAAATAATCTTAAGAGGGATGTTTGCTTGATTTGTGTATCTTCATCTTGGGTGCCATTTGTCACACTGGTGGATTCCAGCTACAGCTCCTCATTGCTCTGACTGAATTGCTAAATTCAGGTTTACATTTTTACTTTCTGTAAGCATATTAAAATTTTAATTAAGCACTAAGTCAGTATTTTAGCAGGTTTTTGAGACTTTAGCTATTTATCTTGTTGATGACAGTCCTCTCAGGTCCCTAATTGTGGACTAATTTTAGAACAATTCTGACTGACTGAGCCCTGCAGGGTAACTGCTACAACTATTCATTAAAAATGAAGAGATCAGAGTTGATCAGCTGACTGTGGGAACCTGCTGTGTGGCTGCTCTGCATCCTGACAGTCTTCTGATCTACAGGTGATAGAGACAGGTTAATGCCGATCTGCTGGCAAAACACAGCATGAAAAGACTTTGAGAAGATGCAGCAGCTCCTTGATACAAAGTTCAATTAGAAACAGTTTCCTTCCCTGTTGTCCACCTGAGATGGTGAGGAAGGAGGGATTTTAAGCAAAACAATTATTTTCTTTCATGCCATTTCCATTAGGTAACATGAGCCCTTCTCAAGGTAAAATGTTTGTGTCTCTCATTTTTGTCTCTCTGGGGAGCACTTTAGAGGAGATGAATGAGGGTCCCTGCTTTACAAAGCACATGGGAAGCTTCCTCAAGGAAGCAACACCACAGTTCATGTTAAGCCAGCTTCATGTGGAACTTTGGAGCTTTTTTCTAAATTGCTGGAGAATTCTAAAGACCCCACATGTACTTGTACATGAGAGGTTTATCACACACATTAACAGGAAAGACTAGCTATCAACAGCTAGTGAATCCAGCTATCAAAACGCAAAACCCTGGCCAGATCTGTCAACGTCTGGGACCAGATGCATCTCTTAACTGCTGTTTTAAAATTGTATCACAATAACAAATGTAGTGATAATGAAATACAGAGTCTGGTACCATCCAAAATTCAGCAGCTGTGGTATTTGCCATGGTGCTGATCTCCCAGGTTTAAGCAGCTTGTGCCAGAAAGTGGTTCTTGTAGCTTAGCAAAGAAATTCAATGCAGAGAAAAAAGGAGATTATTCTTCTGTGCACTATCCTGGCTAAAACTTGTTAACTACCCCTAATTATATCTCTTCCTCTTGTGCTAATCACATCTGCAATACCTTTCATTTCCTTGTTTTGTCCCATAGGTTAAGCCAAGTTGGTGGCTGCCATGGAAGATGGGGACATTGCTGGGGTACAGCCACCTCCTCCTCCAGTCAGTGCAGACCCACCAATGCTGGTCTTCGTGCTGGTTTTTGCAGTACTCTGGAATGCCAAACACATTTTCAAACCATGGGTGACCATCTCCCCCAATGGCCCTTCACCACCAGAGCTAGGAGAGTGCTCTTCTCAAAGACCTGATGTCATCAATTGTTTAATCATCTGAGCTTTCCAGTTCTCTCATCTCATATTGTCTGCAATTAATTCAATGTAACTTCAGTTGTCCATTGAGGGATTGGGAAGACCTTGAGCAAACAGCCCTTTGTTTCCTCCCTGCCCACCAGTCTGCATTTTCCTTGCCTTAGGCCAAAGCCAAATAAAGTGAAAACTTTTCCTTTCACAATAAAACTCACATCCAGATCACTGCTTAGTAAACCACAACTTCCACCAGGGCCAGCCCTGCCTCAGTCTACTTTGCCAAGCCCCATTTGGGTATCCAGAGAGGAACCAGCTCCTGACCTGGCCAGGTTCTTGCTTCCTAGTCAGTGGTGACAGCACACACCAGCTGCATCCTGCCAGGACTCATCTTCTGGAATTCTGGGATTGTGGTGAAAGGAAGATGAAAGAAAAGAGAGATGCAAGCCCCTTAAGCTGCACAGAGAAGTTTGCTACCTAAAGTCATCTGACTGCCTCAGAAAAAGAGGTAAGTTTAAGGAACCAACAGCCAAGGTGTTATTTTGCTGAGTTTGCAATCTCACTTTTATGCTTATCTCATGCAAAACTGGAAATAACACTGGTCACACTTATAACCTTCTAAGGGGAAAAATAGCAACAGCCAGTGCAAATGAAGGGAAGTTTTCTGCACAAAAAATTCTTCCTCACAAAGCACCCTTCAGAGAAACAGATAAACACACATACTTACAGAGCAAAGCCAAACCCCTGCAATCTCCATGAAGGTTTGTGCAGAAACACATCTACAGTTTCCCACCACCTCTTTCCTGTCCCTGGAAAGGGTAATTCCTGTAGGTCACTTGGTGTGAGCTTTCCCTAATCTGTGCCAGGGAAAGCTTCACAAACAGCTGTGAGTCTTCAGTGACAGGGTGAAGCTGGACAGGCAGCAGGTTGCTATTTCTCTATAGAGGTTTATACAGCTTTACATATATTATCACTACTTTGGGTCCTCCCTGCGATCCTAAAGCAAAGAATTGTGAGGAATAAAGAATATTTTTCTAAAATTTGGTATGAAGAGCTGAGCATGGCCCCATCTCTGAGGTAACCATATGGAAGAAAAACCCAGAGACCCCCATTACTCTATGGAATCAAGTCCCAAACCTTTGATCCAGTCTTGAGTCCATTTGAAAGTGATGCAAGGCCTCCAAGGATGGAGTTGTGGCTCTAAAACTTGAGAAGTGCTATGCTGAATGTGCTATTTTCCCCCCTTCTCCAGCTACAGAAGGGGCAGCTCTTTGCTGCAGCTCTTTGCTACAGCCCCAGCCCGCTCCTAGCTGGTTGTGAGCATGCCAGTGGAAATCCCTCCAAACTGCTGGTGCATTCCAAATAAATGGGTCCAATTTGGCAAAGCTACAGCAGCAGCTGAAGCAGTGGGGAAGGATCATACCAGCAACCAAGGAAGCAGATCAGAGAAGGAAAAAGCTTCTAATAGGTGATGATGAGCAGGTGGGAAGCAACCAGTTCATCTCTGAGAGAATTATGAGCAGAGCCTTACAGTCCCCCGAGCAGCTCCTGGGAGGGGCTGCTCCTGCAGCTCCCAGCCTCATGTTAGCACTTTATTTACAACATTGCCTTCCTGTTCGTAATCTTCCCAACTGTGAATTGCAATTTTTCCTTCCCCCAGCATTATGGTGACGGTTTGGAACACGGAGATTTTTGGAAAGGGACAATTTGGCATCAGGAGTCTAAAAAGCAGATACAGATGACATCCTAAATGTATCCTTTATGAGTTTGGAACAATTCCTTTAAATTAAGCTCAGAGTCTGTGACAGCTTCTGGTAGTGTCACCAATAAGGAAATAAAACAAAATAAAACAAAAAATCCCCCCCCCCAAAAACGGAAAACAAAACTAACAAAAAACCAAAAAAAACCCAAACAAACCAAAACAAAATCCAGAGTTCTCAAGCAGATGTAGTCTTAGAGACCTGGATACTTTCACTCATGCAGCTTTGAACTGCTTACCAAGTGCTTCCCAAGGAAAGTGCTTCAATAATTTTCATTTGTCTTTTTGCCACATATGCCCTCGAACCCCAACATACTTGCAAATTCAAGGCTTATAAAAAATTAAATGCTCCAATAATTCTAAACTGTGTTTGTTCAGTGCTACTGGAGCCTGGCCATTCCTTCAGTTTGGGGATTTTTGTTTTATTTACAGTGGGTGGAGGAAGAAATGCTTTCTATTAGTGCTTCAAGTTGGAAGCTGGTCAAACAGCATCAGAGCAGAGTGATTCAGTAGCCTCTGAGCTGATTCACAGTGTGTCATAAAATGGGATTAGGAAAACAACAATGCTTGGAGGAGAAAGAACCTAGACAAAGAATCACAGCAGGAGAACAATACCAGAAAGAACAGAGGGGAATAATCCTCACTTGGCTTCTGAGAAGCAGGTTGGATGACCTAATAGGTGGCTTTCAATGCCCTTCATTCCCCATGGAGTTGCAGGGTTCAGCTGCCTGGATCCAGCCACCACAGCTTAATAAATGTCTCTGCATGGACTGAACCACCCCAAGTGTTCCTGCATGCACATCTGCAGCCTCTTCTCATTTATCTGATGAGACCATGGTCCCCGTCTGGCACAATCCCAGATGCTACTTCACAGCAGGCAGGAGCTTATGCAGAACTAGTGGTGAAAGTCCATGCCCATTTAGGACAGGAAGCAGAGATAGCAATCTTATGCTGTGAGTAAGAAACCAAAAAGCTGTGTTTTCTTAGCGTTACTCAAGAAGATACACACTGGGAGCACATCAAAGGAGCTGAGGTGTCAAACTGAGTGTATTTCCTATCACTGTCCTGAATAGGAATTAAATTAAACATGTATGTTGTGATCTCCTGTATCCAAGTATCATCAACCACCTATGGCCGATGCCAAGATGGAAGAGGAAAGCATAATTTAAAATCTGTTCTCTGTGAACCTGAAGAGCCTATTAACAGCCTTTTTTTAAATTAGGCTTGGATTATAACTGTGGATTACAACCTGTTATAACTGTGGCCTTGAAGTGACAGAGGAAGGCAGGGTCTGTCTCAGGAGTTTTACTAGATCAGCAGTAGTTGAATTACTCCTATGCAGAACATGAAATCACAGCTTCACGCAATTGAGAAAAAATGAGGCAATTATATCACAATTCCAATAAAATTGCTATATCCAAAGTTTGGTAGGGACAGAAAAACAAGGAGGAAAAAGAAAAATCTCATATGCCATGGTCTCCTCTTGTAGACTGAAAAAATGATAAAGTACATCCTTGTAAATAACTCACTGCAGGAGTCCTGGAATTTTATAGAAACTACTGCAACTTGTCTCCCAGTGGGGAATAACTGAGGCATGAGATAAGAAATCAGCCATATCCTAACTTGCAGTGACAGGTGCTGTAAAAGGAAATGCCCAATAAAGGCTTAATGTATAGGAAGATGGCAAATAACTGTCTGGAATTCTGAAATAAGAAAGCATAAACCAATTCTCTAATCATGTCTAATCAAAGAACACCATCAGTTGCTAAAAAGTTCTAGGGAAAAAAATGGGTATTGGAGAGGTGGTAGCATGCCTGTCTTCGTCAGCAGTGTTTTGGGAATATTTTAGCCTGCAGAATTTAATTCTGTGTTATTACTTCTGAGCTTGAAGGTGAAAATCATAAATCAGAACCATTCATAACATGCAATAATGGGATGAAATACTCATAAGGAGAGTTACATGATGAAAGCCTTTGGGACTGTGTGTAACCCTTACAGTCCTTGATGATAGCATTAAAATCCCTTCTGTCACTAACAGCTATTCTTCCCTAATTCCTATACTAGTTTTTCCTCTTTCTTCTCTCGTAATATCTCCAGATTTTTGTGTCATATGGCATTCCTTCCACCCTTCCTCCCTGCTGTCCTAAATATATGTTTAAGGCAAAATCATAGGAAAGCATTCCATGCTTAAAAAGATGGGCAGGTTGTAAATTACACTGTAATTACTAATAAGGGCTTTTAATACCTGAGGAGCTTTCCCAGGGAGTTTTGCTCTGATTTCAGGACCCCCACTGTTTTTATAGAGGGCTATTTGGTCCCATTTATAAGGTGGCTACATTTGGAGTAACAAAGACTGCAGTGCTCTAAAATAAAATAACACTGACCCCACCCTTCTTTTACTTTCTCATAACTGAGTTTAAAAAAAAAATCCCAACCCATGATGTGTTAGAGCTTTGTTTTCTGAGTAACAAGACCAATCATGTTTCCTCTGCTTGAGGTTTCTCTCTTCTCTTCCTTTTCTTCTAGGTCCTCTGGATCCACACTGACATAGAAATATCCCATGATGGAGAAAATAATGCACACAGCAAAGAGGAGAACAGTGAACAAGACAAATTCAGCCCACTAGGAAAGAAAAAAGAACAGCATGTCAGGAGACCCCAGATTCACAGTCCAGAGGATATCTCTGCACTTTCAATTGCTTTTTAAAGAGCTGAGTGAAAATTATTTTTTAGTTTCCAAAATGGCTCACAAGATAGAAATTTTATCATCCTGTTTTCTGGTCAATGCTTGTACACATAATGTAATTACAAATATGTGATACCTCTTGAAACAAAACAGATTGAGTTGGTTCCTTTAAATCTTTTCTTACAAATCTGACCGGAACGTATCTACCTGCGCTTTTTGCCTAAAAGATTCTCTTGGGAGAGGCAGATTCATGCTGGCTAGAAATAAGCTCCAGCTCACACCTTCATGGCATCATCCCAGAAGTTTCACAGCCTGAATTAAACTACCTCTGCATCATGACCTCCCCCTGTAAGCCTGGCATCTCAGGGATGCTGAGGCAGCTGGCCTGGCAGGACTCCCCAGGCAAGACCCTTGAGGAAGAGCTGAGTGCCCACTGGTCTCGTATCTGGTGAGCAACTCAACGTGTGGCTGCCACTGTCCAGGCTCCAGGTCCAGACACAGCCAGCTTGCCTTGAGCTGAGCTCCAGCAGTGTTACCAGTGCAGGTAAGTTACTTCCTGCCACTGGGAGGGTCAGTGAGGGAGCTCCACTGAGGGCCCCACAGAGCAGAGGCTGGGGGACAGCTCAGAGTAGGCTGCTGTCACCCAGGTGCAAGAGCCTGGGGCTGGCGGAGAAGCTGTGCACCAGGAGCACCAGAAGCCTGTTGTAAAGCTGACCTCTGTTTTAAGAACCGAACCATACCTGTGCCATTGGTGCAGCCTCGGCAACAATGAGCACAAAGGTATTCCCCACAGCCACTGTGAGCAGCCAGCCTGCCTGCAGCACCGACTTCATGCTGGCTGGAGACTGAAAAGAGGAGAAGGGCCTGATCAGTGGGAATCATGCTGTGCTCTTCAGCCCTGCTTCACACTCTAGAGTCCTGGCCAGTGGAGGTGTCACTGGGCTCAGCCTAGGAGGAGATGGTGGAATTTCCTCTGTGTGGAGTGGTTAACCTGCAGTTAATCTCAACAGCTGCATACAAGGAGCTTTCAAAACATGGTCAGGAGAACACACGAAGAAGCAGGAGATGCTGTTGTTGCAGAGCTTGAATCCAGGTCATCCCCAACCTGCATCATCTGAAATGGTACCTACGACTTCAGGACGTCCAAGGAGCCACACAAGCCCTGCAGCTTGGAGTCTGGTGCCATGTGGCTGTACACCTTTGAAAAAGAGACTGGATCTTGATGTTAAATTTCCTGCTGAGGACAAATTTTTCACATTCCATTACAGATCATCCCACTGTATTAATCATCCTCATTAATAAACATCTGCACCTTACTCCAGGGATACATTTGAGCAGCTTCAGTAGCTGTTTGACCATGTAATGTCTCTGTTCTCTCTTCTCATCATCCTCCCCAGATAACAATCAAATCATCCCTTGCACATTTATTACCCCTTGCTCCCTTGTTACAACCTTGCATGTTTAGACCCCTTCAGTCTCTCAGTTTAAAGCAGGTGCCAAGCCCTCATGCCACCCTGTAGCCCTTGAGAATATCTTTGCCTTTTTATCACTGAAAAATACATAGCAAAAAATACTTCACTAGGAGAAAACCCTGATATTAAAATATTCAGAGTTTTCCTGTTAACTATCCAGTTCTGCTCTGTGTTCTCAGGTTTACCAGAAAAGGATATTTCCAAGTATCACGGAGAAATGGTACCTTCAGAATATGAATTAATTTAGTTTAAGGGCACCCAGCAATCTGTGTTACAATCCCACTTTCAGCTGAAGGATAGATAACATTGTTAGTGTCATGTCAAAGGAGGTATAACCAGTCAATGACAGATGTAGAAATAAATCTTGAAGTCTAATTGTAAGGCCCTTATCTTTAAGTGGAGTACCTGAGAATAGGAGAAGGCCAGACCCGTAATGGAGAACATCACCTCCCCAGCAGATATCAATAAATATTGTGGTAACTGCCAGGCCATATGGACATTGTTGGCTTTGATGTCCTCTGATTTCCATATCTCAATGGCACCCCCAGAAATCTAGCAGGAAAATAAAGGCACAATGATTAGTTGCTGAAAGGTCAGATCTTTCTTAGCCTGGACAACAGCAGCAAATTTACCAAAACAAAGTTTTAAGCAAAGGTGGGAAAAAAGCTCTGCCTTTGGAGCAAACTATGGTTCTCAACCCTGCCATTTACAAGCCTGTTGGGAATAGGGTGACTCCTGCTGCACTGGACAGAGAGAGGAGGATGGAAGAATTCCACTCATTCAGGTACCACAAGAATTTCCTGAATTATTGCAAACCAACAAGTTGTCTTCTGTAGTTGGGCTGGGAAAAGTGAGGTTCCAGTGCAGAGCCTGTGGCCTGCTGCTGTTCCCAAGGTCAAAAAAGAATGAGAGGGTAAGTGCTCATTGCATTCATGTTGTCACTGCTCCCATTTTATCAACACTGTACAACTTCCCTATGATATCATTGACACCCAAACAAACTCAGCTCAGGAATGCCAAGAGTAGCAAAGACTGCTCCATATTAGATCTATTCAGATAGATATGGTAGCTGTATTCCTAATTATTTTTGTTTCTTTTCCCAGGTGTAATTAATACTGCCTGTGATGCATAGAGGCTCAGAGGCTGAGAGAGATTTGACTAGAAGCCAGGGAAACACAAGATTGAAATGACTTCAGGCAGAAAGGCCTGTGTTTAAGGAGAGTATTTGGGAAAATACAAGGGATGTTTATGAGATGTTCTTAATCACCAATCATTGCCAGGGAGGCAAATCGAGAGACTGTATTTCAGCAGGCTAAAAGGGGTGAGAGGAGAGCTGTGCATTGCTCTTTAGCCCATAAAGAAATGTCACAAGCACCATGCTGTAACTGCACACTGAGGAAGGCTGGGTAGAAGGTAGCATCCCCGTGATTTAAGTTTCACAGTTCAGCTACATTAGCAGACTAATATATTGTATTCTTGGTTCTTCTATATGGCACTCCTGGCAGAGGAGCAGGGCTCAGTACAAATCACTGCAATAATTAAAAGTGATCTTGGCCTCAAGCAAACTAACTCTACAGAAGGCAGAAACCGCAGAGACAGAGATGGAAAAACAGAGGGTGAAAAATAATAAAGTACTAGCATAGGGTTCAGAAGGGCTGAGGCATAGAGCCACCCTGAGCAGCCAGGGCTATAGCAGGGACTTATGCAGATGAGTCCACAGCCTGGAATCCTTGGCACAGTGATGTGGGACACATCTACCTCAGCTGTCCCTGTTACCAGAGGCTCTGGGGGCAATTTTCTTAGTGTTATATTTTTAATGCAACATCTCTATCTGGTTTCTCATCTGGTGAAAGAGGCTTGCAGCCATGGAAGAGGGGACTGGCCAACATCACTTCAAGTGTGTGTGTTTTATGTACATAAATCTCTGCACTCACAGATGGCAGCATCTGCTTGTTCCCTCCAGGGTTGTACATCCCACTCCAGCTACTGGAATTGGAAAAAAAAAAATGCCAGGTGCTTCATGGCTATATTTTTCCCCTGACATATTTGGACTCTGCAGACATGAACAGCTCCCATTAATTGCCCAACAGGGAGATGCTACTGCCAGGGAGTAGCTGACAACGCTTTGCTCTGCTCATCACAACACAGCAGCCAAAGTCTCAGAGGGCAGCTTAGCAGTGTGTCCTGTCAGACCCAGTTTGTCTGTGTGCCGTTGTGGTGGAAAGGTTAAAATGGGAACTAAGCTGATCACGTTCATCTCCATGGCTCCAGCCAGCTGGACTAGGGTTGAAGCAGTGTGTCTGAGAGGTTGGCAGGCAGGGAAAGGAATTCACCCTCTCAGTGGTGCTCAGACCCCATGAGGGCTAGGCTGTTCAGAAAACCATGCCTTGACTTTACACTAGGATCCAAATTAGCTGTACAGACAGTGAGAGGAGGAAACAGATGTATAACCTCACCAACTTCCTCCCTCAAGACTTTGTCCCTCTTCCCCCTATGCATAATCTACAAAGTCTTGAAAGATCTTTAGTTCAGTCAGCTAAATGTGAGGATAGAGCAGACTGTTTCTGCAGTTTTTTGGCTGTGATGCACCACCAGGTACAGTATTTTAAAGACCACAAGCAGACTCAGCTCTTGGCAGATAGTAATAACTCTTTGCAGTGCTCTGGGTCGATGTTAACTGCTCAAGGATGGCATGAGACAAGCACAAACCACAGATATCAAATGATTTTCTATGGAGGATTTCTACCAAGGAAAATATTATACTTCTTTTTAACCCTTGCAATCTGACATGTTCACAGTGCAAGATGGAACAAATACACTCCCACCTTGCTTATGTAGGTACCAAAACTTCTTACTATCCCTTTCATAATGGATTGCCTTCAGGTGGCTACTGCCCAGGGATCAGAGTGTGGACAAAGCAAGTAAGAGTCATCAACACAGGAATAAAAGCACTACCAGAGAGTAGAACAGGAGTGTGTTACCATCACAGGAACACTTACATTAGTTATCACAACAGTGTATGAGGCACCAAAATCAAGCAGCCTCAGCTCCAGGGGGAACTCTCCTTTTTCAGTTATGCATTTTCCATTATTATATCTAGATAAAAGGATGAAGAACAGTATTTCCCAGTTAGTTCCACAAAGATCACAGAGCAGAGCTATCAAACATGGCCCTGAAATGGAGCAGGGAGGATGCAAGATGTAAAGATGCAGTAGCATTTACATCGGACAGTCACTGGAGTTCTTGCTATGTTTTCCTTCTAGAAGCATTTCGACACTGACTGGAATGCACCTAATGACCCAGGCCATTGCTAACATTTTTAATGGTTTCTGCCTCTTAGTGCTGATGTAATTTTCCCCCTCCTTAGGTTTATTTTTCGACTTCATTTTGCTGCATTTCTTCAGGAAATGTAGACCACACGAGCAGTCAACAGGAACTCAGAGATGTGGACCCAGAAGCAACTTTGTTTCCTTCCAATAGAGCAAATTAGCCTTCATATTTGTTCTTCTGATTTTGGATGTGTGAGATGGCACAGAGGCTCAGCAGCATTGCCACAATGGCTGCTGCGTCCTACTAAATTGCAGCAATAAATATTTTGGATGGAGCTGATGCAGAGAAAAGCCATGAAGCTTGTTTTGAAACATTGGAAATGCTAGAAATACCCTACAAGAGCCAACTCCAGTGCTGCCAATGCAAGGCCATATGGAGCCCCTGTCTAACAAGCCCAGCCTGCAAAGCCATGTAGTGCAACTTGATGTTACCAACCCACATACTAACACTCTGTAGCATGGAATATGAACTGGCCTTTCCCTGAGAGCACCCTAACACCGGGAGCTTGGGCCTGAGAGAATAACAAATTAAGCAGGCACTAAATGGCAGAGGAGACTTTACCATGTCCCACCTTACTCCACTGACAGATGCACAGGAATGGCCAGTCTCTTCCCTCCAGGCCCCCACACAATGTGAATAAAAACTTCTGCACACAGACGAGTGGCCTGGAGCACCTGCTCTGCACTGAGCTGATAATTCTGCTTTTTACAAACATCTGCCCCCACAACCCCATGCCAAGACAATAGCAATGCAGGTTTTGCAATTGGGCTGAGAAAAGCCTCTTTGTACCCAAGGAAATGCTTCAGCAAGGACCTTCTGCTCAGGAAGGGAGACTTACATGTCCCTCTCCAGCAGTGAGTACTCAGAAGCACTGTAGTTTTTCTGAACAGCAATGAACTTTTTGCTATCGATGGTGAGGTTGACATCTTGGCTCAAACCATTAATGAATCTGCAAAGAAACCATATTTCATTGACCTGTCAGCCAGGGCAGAAGAAGCATAATAACAGACACTTTAGAAGTCTGCATACTCTCCCAAAGCATTCTGTAATTCCATGAGGTTATGAGAATCTCTTCTGCAAGTTACCAAAATATTTGTCTAATTCATTGCCTAGTGTTTCAATACAAGATTAGCTTCCCTGATGCATAATTTTACCCTCTTACTCTCTTTTCTATGAAAAATGTCCCTCGCTTTTTGTGGCCTAGAACCTCCAGGCAATCCAATCTCAGAGACCAACAAAGATTGCAGCAAATTCTGAGGAGGCTGCGAAGATGATCAGAGGGCTGGGGCGCCTCTCCTGTGAAGACAGGGTGAGAGAGTTGGAGCTGTTCAGCCTAGAGAAGAGAAAGCTCCAGGGAGACCTTGGAGCACTTCCCAATACCTGAAGAGGTCCTATAAGACAGCTGGAGAGGGACTTCTTACAAGGATATGGAGTTACAGGACAAGGGGAAATGGCTTTAAATTGAAAAAGGGTAGGGTTAGATTATATTAAATTTTAGGAAGAATCTCTTCATTATGAAGGTGTTGAGACGCTGAAACAGGTTTCCCAGCAAAGCTGTGGATGCCTCATCCCTGGAAATGTTCAAGACCAGGTTGGATCGGGCTTTGAGCAACCTGGTCTCAGGAGAGGTGTCCCTGTCCATGGCAGGGGTGTTGGTACCAGGTGACCTCAGGTCCCTTCCAACCCAGACCATTCTATGACACTGTAGAGACCAGTCCATGGCTGTGTGAGAGGACAGAGTCTCAGCCTACCACAGGAAACTCTGAAGTTGTGTGTCCTGAAGAGCAGGCACACCATGCTGGCTTTTTCATATTTTGCTTTTTGTCTGGTTGGGTTTTTGTTTTGTTTTTTGTTTTGGGGGTTTTTTGGTAGGGTTTTTTTGGGTATTTTTTGGAGTTCTTTTTTTTGGTTTTGGCAAATTTGCATCTTCTGCCCTTCATCAGACAGCAGAAACCAGCACAGGAGTGTTCATGGACTAAATGGAGTAGCTTAAATTAGGAAGAGTGGACTAAGCACAGCCCAGTGACCAAATGAATTGTTTATGAGGATGTAAAATTGTTGCTGTATCCAATTTAGTAGACACTTGTGCATGAGTTTGGGTGAACGCCATGGGTTGGCCCATTTGCAAAGGACACAGCAGCAGCTCCTATCCAGATTGCTGCTTCCCTTTCATCAGTGAGATGAACTTGCCACTTTTCCAAGGAAGGAGCTCTTTTATATTGCCATCTCAGCTCAGACTGTCCTATGCAGTGTGCAGCAATAGCTCTCAGCTCTGCATGGCATGTGTGGGAGGTGACACTCTGTCAAGCCTCCACAGCTGACACCCAAGTCTTGCATGAAAAGCGTGGACTAGGTTCCAACCCGAGAACATCTGGGCTATGTTACATACAGATGCATTAGACAAAAGCACTTTCCCCCACCCAACCACCACCAAATCCTCAAAAAAAGCCATTCCTACCTAACAGCTGCCAAACCATTTTCTGGCTTTGCTTCCAAGTCTGTAATCTAAAGAGGGGAAGAAAAAAATCATCAAACACATTTATTAATACTGCCTTACAACATGTGGCAGACAATTGTGGTGTCTGTAGAGTAACACATGTGCTGCAAAGCCTGTGGAAATCGACTGGACTGTCACATAAGCTTTACATCAGGCCACAGCTGGGGAACCCTGGTACAATGAAGCCAATGGCAAAAGTTCATCTCCGCCAAGGGCTTAAGATGAGATCATACATTTTCTCCTCATCTCTTCTGTAACAAAGGCTACCAAGCTTCAGCCAGTCACTCTTTCACTGAGGCATGTACCACCCTCCAAAAAAAGTATTTTTCTTGATCTTGAGATAGCAATAGAGCATTATCCACATTAGCATCTTTCAGTGACTAGTTACAATCAAACTTGAGTGCCTTACTTCTACAAAATCTGCAAATGCCTAACTTTCAGACCCTGATTCTTTTCATATTTATAGACTTCACAGGAGTTTAAAGCTGAGAGGAACTGCTAGGTTACTATACTGATCATCATGTATCACTCAAGCTTTCCCTGATCCTTGATACTCAAGAGATTAAACTGTTGTAATGTGCAGGCAGAGAGCAGGAGAAATGAAGATGCACTGAGCTTGTTTGTGCTCACAAACAGATCCCTGCAGACACATCCCTGAAATGGCCATCTGGATGGGCACACTGGAGAGCGAGACTCTCTCTCCTGGAGACCACGGCTAGAGCTGCAGCTAGATAGTTAATCAATGTTCATTTGGAGAAACCTATTTTGTGTGCAACACTGAAAAAACACAGCTAAGACAGAGCCCTGCCTTGGAGGTTGCATGCAACAAAAAAAGAACACAAAGCAAAGCTCTTAGCGGGTAGAAATCCAGAACTGTGCCGTGTCCACTGAAGATGGCAGGGAAATTTCACTTTGCACTGCCCACAGATAGAACCCAGGCAGGCCAAAAGGCTCTCTCAAAATTTTCTGTCCCTTTCTCCATACTTTTTTTTCCTGATGCAAAACCCTGGTTTTCTGAGACCAAGGATCCAGAATTTCAGTATATCTATAAATTGTCTATTGTACTTCAGAGTAATATGCTATCCACAAATAACATATGCCCTAAATAATAAATAGCCACAGTAAATAATAAATGTCAGAGCAATAAATAATAAACCACAACATCTTCTTTTTTTCCATGGGAGATATGTGGGAATGAATACTCTAGTTTGTTGCAGACAGACCAGCCAAATTTTTACTCATTTTCACTGATGATCCCCAGAGCTTTCAAATTCATTTCCTGCCTACTCAACAGCCCACAAAGGAGAAGAAACCAATTTCAGATAGTGTCCTTCCAGGAAAGCACTCCCACCTGAGTGAGTGGGCCAAACCTAGCAGTGAGGGAGGTTACTCGAGGGTAAGCCCTGCAACACAGCAGTGATGCTGGCATTGCTTTCCTTCCAGCAGTGCTGGAAAAGTATAATTTACCACGCTGTCTTCCACATCTCCCTTATCTACAGCTGTGAATGACAGGTCAATACCATCACCCAACAGAACAGCTGTTTCCCAGCACATGAGAGTCTGCCTGTGCCAGGGTGGGCATTAATTTAAGCACAGTCTAGACAGCTGGGGTAGCATAGATGTACTGGAGCTCTGAGACTGCTAAGCTCCAAGCCTGTTGCAGGCTTTTGCTTCTTAAGGACTGTATGAAAATCATGACTATCCATTTCTTAAGGAAATAGCACACAGCTTTCAGGGTGTGTGCTTAACTTAACTTTGTGTGATACTGAGCCCCAGACTCCAAACCATAATGTTTGATCATCAGCAAAAAAACCTTGATGCTATGATAAAATTAATTCTTTAAATTAATTTCAAAAAACAGTTGCATGATTTCTGCTATATAATATTGAATGCTTAGTGTGGCTACCCTGCAAGATAGAAGGCTCAGGAACTGCAAAGAGAATGGATATTTTAGCATAAGGACAGATTCTGATGGCATTTACACACCTGCCACAACATGCAATAACACCATGAATTTCAAGAGAGCTTCTTAGAATACAGCTACACATTCCATGTGCCCCTCTCTGATTGTTGCAGAAATACACAAAAGTCCAAATACAGTCAGCTCTGCTGCACAGCCTGAAATGAGCTTAATCATTTATTCTGTTCAGTAAAACAAATGGGCCTTCTGTGCTTTTTCACTAAACACTTCCAATAACTAATCCCAGAATCATTCCTGTGATGCTTTTATTCCATGGCCAGCCCTAGAGCCTCTTTAACATCTTTGCTTTATAGAACCATCTTCGGGGGAAAATCTCTGGCTCCTTCCCCAGCTTTCTCCAGCTCTGCTGCCTAGCAGGCATGACTCTGCTCTCCCACTGCAGCATTCAGTGGATTAAAGTGTGCCCAGAAACTCTCAGATGCCACAACGCCTCTATTAATCAACCAGCAGAAATGTGCACAGATCCAGTGCCTCTAGCTAAGAAGTGAGGTTTAGAGCATCTGAGAGCAATCAGACAGACATTGCAACTGAGCAAATGAATTAATGAGCCTATTACCCCATTGTAGCATCACAGCCATTGAATTAATACTGTATTTACACTTCACTCCCACACTCACTAAGCGGCTTGATAGGCTTCCTTCTGCCTCAAAAACAATTAAGCTGTATACTGATTTTTCCTTCACAGTGTAGTTAAAAGCAAGAGTCAATCCTTGATGTTGCAGGGTGAAGTGAAGGCTCTGTTGCTCTCCATTCAATATTAATTTTGAGTACTCAGCTGGTTTCTGTGGAAGAAAATAAACCTGGTTACACTTTCTTCAAATAAGAAACAATCTGTCTTTTCCTACCAAGTGTACCACTATCCCCTCTTTAAGGGAGACTGTAATCCTGTTACCCTTTATTCCTAATTACAGGTGAATGTAAGGTGTATCCTTTGCTGGGGAAATTTTTCTCCAAATGTTCAATTTCTGTTTCATATAACAGAGATATTATGCTTTATTTGTAAAGCTATTCCCATGCACTTCTAAGGCGATGGAGCAGAACAACCTCTTGCATCTGTGGGCTTTATTAGAAATGCCTGATAAAAAGCCCATCCTTTCTTCAATGACGTGCAAGTCAGGCCTTTCAGTCCCAAATATATGCTTACCTGAAAAGACTCCACAGGCTGCTGAAAGAGGTCCTTGTCTTGGATTGTCACTTGAACAGGGTTCTTTGCCAAATTCAGGACCCGAATTAAACTTTCTTTTGGGACAAGTCGAGGCATATCGGTTTCCTAATTAAAGTAAAAGGCTTTAAGTGCCATCTGTATGCTTTATTAGCACTTTAATATCTCTTCATTTTTAGCCATAATAGTCTTCCTCTCTGTAATGACACTTTTCCATCCCTTCCTCAACAGAAGTTGCACTCAGAAAAAACTGAACATAAATCTTTTTTAGGGAGGTTTTCTCATAGTAGCTCAAAGGCCAACCCATCATTCCTCCCAAAAATTGCTCTTCACACTACTAAGTGTACAGACTTCACACCTACTGAGGAGGTAGAACAATGTCACAGTTTTCATTATACAGCTCCCTTGTGCCTGGATTTAACCAACTGCCACATCAGAATGGAAAAATTTGTGCTTAGCTTTCAAAAGCAGTGACCAGAATAATTATTTCCCATTGCAGTCAGTGTCTGGGAAAAGAATCAGACCAGAAGTTAAGTAGTTTTGAAAATCCCAGTTCAGCTTCGTGTCTGTAATCAGTGCTTTTGCATTACTGCACACCTTGCTATCTATACAGCCAACTATATAGATATTATTCCTTGTTTTCTGAGAGAGGTAAGCTGATGCCTCCAGCACTGAGGTATCTCCTTCTGTCAGGAACCATTTCCTAGAAAGAGTACATCAATCAGTGTCAGCCTTGTACTACCTGCAGAGCTAATTTTTTTTTTAACTTCTCTCTTTTTCTTGTTTTATTTTCAAGTAGCTGCCAGCAATACTGCAGAGCTATTTATTTTTCTTCTATCTTATCTGATAATTTGGGTAGTGCAAGTAGGGTAATTTGAACCTAACTTGGTGGGGAGACACACTGCCACAGAAGACAGAATGAGCTGATTTCCCTGTATCCATATGCTGCTCTGGACCAACAGGCCTGCTAATATTATCCAGCAAATTCAATTACTGTAGCTTTTCACTTCTGCTACCCACAGTCAAGAGAAGGTGGACCATCATATCTTCCTCTTTGGTACATCTTAAAATAGCCTTTAGGGTAAAATTTTCATGGACAGGCAAGGAGGAACCTCTAACTCACCTTGCCTCTGCCCAGAGGAGTCACCCACAGCCAGAGCAAACTTTGGTGCTTGGCCAGAGATTCTAGTGGTAGCAATGAGAGCATTTCTTTGCTCACATAAAGAGATTGGAAAAAAGACCTGAACCCACACAGTCTTATTTCAGTGGGAGGCTCATTAGGGGATTCACCTGAGGAGCCAGCAGATATTAATCCACAGCTGTGAGCCAGCCACTCTAACAGAACATTTTAAGTACACATAGAAGCTTTAAAAATTAATCCTATAGTAACTTTTGTAAGACAAAGGTCAGCCAAGGTCTACACAATGCTGCTCATGAGCCAGAAACAAACAGTACAAATCTGCCAGAGCTAACATGGAATTTATGAGTTGTGCTGCCATTCTCTCTGGGGATGCCTGGCAGACCCTGATGCCTGTGACAGCATTCACCTGCCTATCCAGAGAAACAATTTGGTTTGTATAAAAAAGCCATGCCACCCTAAAGCAGGAAAGTAATTAAATTAAAATTTTTAAAACAATTAAATAAAAAAACCAAAACCACCACACACACACAAAAGACCCCAAACAGCAAAGTATAGGCAAGCTACAGCAAGAAATAGGAGTGAGAACAGACTACCTTTTGGAAATTAATCACTAGCATTAACTAGATGTCTGTCAAGCACTTTGACGATGGAAATCTAGAATATAGACCCATACACATGACCAGTACAGCACAACTGCAAAGACTAGAAAGAAAGACATAGAAACAAAGACAGGGAGAAGTAGACAAGGTAAGAATTATCATTAGCAACTGGATCAGTATGCTCAGTTGTAAAGAAAACATTACAAATTTTGATTAAGCACAATGGCTTAAAGGATTATCTACCAGACATCAATAAAGACACTCCATGGAAAGAAAGTATTTCTGAGGAACGCCTTGTGCTTTACTTACATTTATTTTGACTTCTATAACAGCTGCAAGTCCAAATGCCAGCCCTGCAAGGACCATACCTGTTGCCATTTTCCTAATAGGTCTATGGAGCAAATGAAAGAGGTGCCATTAAAGGAAAAAAAGTAATTTAAACTATAGAATACCATTCCTCAGAGCCAAAGATGTGCCAAAACCATGTAATAAACTGCCCAACAGGTGGCACTCAGGATGACAGGCTGTTTAAATTGCCGATCTCTTAACTTAAAACTATTTTATTATTCTGTATGAGGCCAGCACTGAGGCCAATTAGAACTGATATGCTATGAAAAGAAGTTCTTCCCTTGCAAGTTTCAAATCATCTTTTTCCCAGCTCTTCTAGTGGGAATAGCTCATGACATTATGTTAATCCATGATGTTGGAAGAAGCACCAGAAATGATGTATCTTCAAGTCCCTTTTGGGAAAGGCAAAAGAAAAGTAACATTCTATTTAGCAGTGGGAATAAGGAACAGAAAAATGTGTAGTTTGTGTCATCAATGTTTCTGACCATCTGGGGCATCATTCTGGTTTATTTCTCATGCCAATACATTTACATTTCTAGAAAATAAAGAGCTTGCTTCTAAACTCAAGGCAAAGCTAGTGCAACTTTACTAGAGTTACATGAGAAAATCTGATATAAATCAGAATAATACATGTCCAGAACAGCAGATTCAAACTGAGTATTGAGCTCTTGAGATTTGAGACAAATCTGGTTCTAGATTCAGTGTTCTCCACTCTTTGTAATGGTCTTTAGTCCTAGCATTCAGTCCTGGTTGGTGCTTGAGTTTGTGCTGTTGGGTGAACTACTCTGTGAGTTGGTCATAAGGCAGGAAGTTTTCTGCCAAGTCCAGACCACAGGCTCACAATCAGGGATGAGGGAGAAGCCCAGTTTCTGATGTGTATCCTCCAAAGGGGGCACCATTGCAGGGCTGGACAATGTTTTTGATGTGTCTTCAGGTGCAAGTAATTCAGCACGGTGGGAAAGGACCAGCAGGGTGAGGAGAAGGCTTCTGAGGCACCTGCCACCCCCATTTTATGTGGTTTTGTCTGTCCTGCATTTTAGTTTGGATTAGGAACATGCTTTTTAAGCCAAACCCCACTCATTACCCTTTCCCATGCTATGGTTCACATGCAGAAGTGGTGTTGGAGAATAGAAACTTGGCTCCTTTTAGTTGAAATTCCACTGACAAAGGCACTCCAAGAGTGCACATAATGTACTTCCACTGCTAGAGAGCATCAGTCCACAGAGGCAGAATACTCTGAAGTTAATTTGCACCAAATGCATAAAGTGGATCTCATAAACAACCTGAGGTCTGCTCGTCTTACACTGCACTTCTTGCTAACATAGACTAAGGATAAAATGCTTGGCTCACATGGAAATCCCCTTATGCACTCACTGGTTCAGATCCTAGCCAGCACGGGACCATGAATTTGGTCCCACAGGGACTTTTCAGGGAGGGAATTATTTAGGCATGACATGGGAAACAAGGTGGAAAACATGTTGATGAAATTCAAAGTGAGACTATTTGTATCTTTTGGGGAAATCTGTATGGAGAAGAATTGGACATCACTGAGTTTTACCTTTTTCCATGGTCTGTGCAAAAGGGTGATGCTGCCTCTTGGGACTGAAGTATACTCAAGTAATAAGAAAGGTGAATGGAAATTTGTGTTTCTCTTCCTTAAAACCTATTATGCACACTTATGGCAAAAGAAAAAGCACAGAGGCATCTACATTGTCCCCAAGTACTTACGTGAAATTCAATTTGCACATGTTTATCAGGGGGTAGAGTCCAAGGTCAAAAATTGGGATGAAGACAAGAATAAGAAGTGGATTTAAGAACTGCAATACAAAAGAATGGGAGTTCAGTGGCTAGAAAGCAACTTTCAGTAATTAAACCCATAAAGCACTGTCCTCCAGAAATAATTCCATTACAGAAGGGACATGGATAAACACTTAAAATCTCCTTTTAAAATATAATCATAGTTTGCACTTAACAGCTTCTGCTATTTAGTTTTCATAGGCATGAATACATTTTGTTCATATCCTCCCCTCCAAGAGGCAAGCAAGCATCACTAGACCAGTTTCCCTGGAGAGAGAACTGAAACATGATGTTTTTAAAGAGTACAAACCCCACTGACAATAGAGACAGGTGACCTTTGGTGCTGCGGTGGGACCTTACAACAAATCAGCAACAATGGAAACATCTTGGGACTCCAGCAAAATCCCAGAGGAACAGGCGCTATTGTGTGAGATTGGCAATTTCTCGCACTTCAACATAGCCTAGGAATCCCGCAGGAACAAAATTTCTCCTGGGAGGGGCACAGCTTGTCTGCCAGCCAGCAGTGGCAGAGCAAGGAAATAGAGAGTGATGAAGAACAAGCAGTGAGAAATGTTGTTTCAGTTCCAAAGGAAGATTTCAGGGAACAGAACAGCTTTGAATTTCTCCAGAGCTGTTCACCGTAAGAATTGTAATCAACTGTGACAACAGCACCATCTTGGAGCTTTCATGTTTTCATCTACCCTGCAGAAAGGGAGGAACCAAAAATAGTTCAAGAACATTGTTCATCCCGGGACAGGAGCCTGTTAAAAGGAGATACTGGTTGTATTCTTCACATGCCGGCACTAGCTCAAGAACTATTACAATGGTATGTTACCACACACCTCTGCACTGTTCTGCAGGAGTCAGCTTGTGGATTAGGACATCCTCGGGGTCCTCTGAACCCCAAGCTTTCAAAACAGCCTGTGAACAATAAGGCAGAGGGCACACCACAACAACTAGCAGAAGCACTGCTATTACCTTGAAAAGGAGCAAAGAATGGCCACTGGTCCCATGAGAAAAATACAGATGAAAGAAAAGAAGAAGATACATTCTAAGGGTTATTTCCTACCCTGTAATATCTTTTACCTGCATTTGGTCAGGCTGAAGGACATATATTCCCTGAAACAAAAAGATATTCCAAGTGATTCATAAACACTATAATACATCAGTGCATATGGCAAATAAGTAATCGGTCCCAGAGAGGCCTTTGCAGCCAAGGTGGTTTCCTCAAATGCTTTATGTTGGCTTTAGCAGCTGATATTGTGTTCTTGACACTTGTTGTCTAAGGACACAGTGTTTAATAAGAACATTTTGCAGAAGGAAGCTGCACTCAATCCTTGATATTTGGCAGCTGTGACACAGCTTATGACAGGTACTGAGACACATCTTTCAGGCTGGCTGAGCCATGAACTAGGTGAGTGGAGAAGAATGAGGGTGTTAGTGTCCAAGCTGGGAGGAGGGCTTAGAGCTTCTTCCCTCCCTGCTTCTATAATGTGAAAAGCCCCAATGCTATAAGTGAGTGTTCCCAAGCTTCAGGACCCTGTGAACTCTGTTGGTATTTCTCCCAAGTTCCCAAAAGGATAATAAAAGACCAGCCTTGAGCCAGTGGGCTGCACAAACAACTCTTTCTTCCCCCATCTGCATCTGACAGGCTTTGGACAACTGCAGCTTCTTGTTTTGAGCAGAGTCCTCAAGGCTGGAAGAGGTGCCTCACACTTGCATCACTATCCCAGCCCCCCCAAAATGGGCAAGGTCAACAGGAATGGATGGATGGAGGGATCTCAGACCTCAAAAGGAACCATGGACCTGTCTCTAGGGAGGGACTGGTGGTTTCCTGAAGTCCGTGAAATGCTTTTCATTTGAAATTAAGATGAAGAAGAGGGGTGGGTGGGGAGGGGTCAGGGGGTGGGGAAGGGTGCAGGAGGGAAGAAATTAGGAAGAAAATAATGTATTTCCAAGAAAATGCTGTGGGGGGTTGTCTCCTGTCTGCCAGTCCTGTCCTGAACTGAATGTAGACTGGTTGCCTGTCTCTGCCCACAGCTGCCTCCTGGGAGAGTGAAAAAACACCAGGCAAATACCCCCTCCTGCTACTTTGCACACACCATAGAAATGTGTCATTAGGAAATGAGCCTGCAAATATTTCATCTGACACTAAATAATTCCCTGTTTCACTCCAGACTCCCTAGCTGAGCCCTTGTCTGCTGAACAGAAAGTCATAGAGTATTATAAACATGAACTCCAACAAGCCTAAGGGTGGGATCACTCCAATGCTGCAGTTAATTTTCACCTTCTTGAGGTGGGGCAACTCATGAGGGGAGAGCAGACGAGACTGAAACAAGAGCCAAGGAGCTATCCAAGTTGGTGTGACAAAAAAAAAAAGCCTTGAATCTATCTTTCCTCACTTGGGAGAGTCCAGTAGTGACACCTGGTGATACTTAGCTCTCCTGTTAATGGATCACTAAGTACATGTGAGCGAAACACTAGAAAACAAATGTTTTAGATATACATCACATAGACTGCAAGGACTTTGTTCTGCCTTTCTGAGGTGGATAAATATTACCCAAGGTGTAGTCTTTTTCATGCCTCATTTGAACTAATTTAGCCTAATGAGTATCACATATTGAGAGCCCAATTTTTAACAGTAGTGACATAGAAGGTCTCATATTTGTGACTTTAAGTCAATTTTAAACTGGAAAATGGACACTTACAGCCCTAGATTTTGATATGAACATCTGCAGACAAGATCTAGATGGCCTGTTAAAACATGTATGTCTGAAAAACAGCCCTGTGTGGGGACATCTTCGGACAGATAGCTGATGTACATTTATCTGCTACTGCAGCCTGCACCTTTTGCCATTCACACCTTTGAAGAACTTTATGGAAACTACCTAATTAATCCCTAACACATCTTAATCCTATACATAAGATTCTTGCTGGTTTTAAGAGGCTTCATTAATGTATCACCAAGTGATCCAGTGCAGAAACATACAGCAGCTCTAGTCACACCTTAATGGGGCTGACTTGGCTGCCTTCCATGGGGGCAGCAGGCTGAAAATCCTACTTGCTCCAGGTCACAGGGCCACTGGCTGCCAGTAGGTCAGCACCCCTGACCTTGCAGGCTGCTGATGGCTCCCCAGCCCTCACTTCCAGCTGAGATGAGCTGTGATGAACTGAACATGGCTGCATGAACAGAGCTTCTGGCTTCTAATCACCAAAAGTGAAACTCACCCAGATTCACCAAGCAGACGCTCTTAGTACTGCAAGACTCCGGTTAATAAGCAAGAGCAGGGATGTTACTACTAGTCTTACCAGCCCTGGTAACATTAAGTACTTACAAAATCAGCATTCATTTTTGTGGCTTGCAAAGTCCACCTGGATCCCTAAGGAGAAAACAGACATCTGTGAAGCTTTCAAGATGTTCCATGGGGCTAGAAAATGGGGACAGAGAAGATAGCAAGGAGGACTTATTTCCCATCTACTCCTTCCCTTCCCTGTAACACCCGTCACTAGGCAGGGCACATTCTCCCCTCTCATTCTCCTGTGCCAGACACTTGGCAGGACTCTGAAGGGCTGAATAGCAGAGATGGTAGATGGCCCTGGACATTCAGTAGGGGTGTGGCCCTCTGTGTCCCTAGCATGCTTTGGTGTTACCCCAAAAGGACAGAGGTGCCAGCCGAGGCTGGTGGGCAGAGCTGTACACACTGTACTGTACCTGCTGATCAAACAGGGCCCAGAACATTGGCAGTGGTATGAAGAGGAAGAGAACACGAGTCACCATTTTAACCTCCCCAATCAGCTGTTTCTAAAAGGGAACAGGCAAAAAGGTAAGGTGGGGGTGTAAAGCCAACAGATGATTCAAGCCACAAAGCTTAATTCCTATTTCTTTCTGCATGGCAGTTCTTCATTGTACTTACTTGTGACATTGGATATATTTGCATTTCTACATTTCAGTGCAGCACCTAAACCGTCCATTAAGGGTCAGAAGAGTACAGATGTGGGAAGAGACAGGAAAATGCATACGAGGGATGCTGTGGCCAGGCCAGTCTTACTGTCTCCTCTCTCTGTCTTCCCATCTCCCCCTTCCCACTCCAAACCTACCAGGTAGAGCATCACTTACCGAGTATTTTTCTGATGCCCAGTCCAGCCAGTGATCTCTCTTTGGAATCTCACGGGAGCGGTTTTTCAGCCGGTTTTTAATAGCAAACTAGGGAGAAAAACAGGTGAGTAACTCACTCATACTGTACCTGCCCTTGTCACATCCCCAACTCAAGGCTACCTTCCCCATCTCCAAATGTAAGTAGTGCCAGAATATTGAGTGGGGTGGGTTGCTGGATACCTCTAAAATCTCAGATTGGATGCTTTATGATGAATTGTCTGCAGGGAAGTTTCTATGACACCAGTCAATTAAAGGTATGATGGGGGAATGAATTATAGAATCATTGACTCTTAGAATATCCTGAGTTGGGAAGGACCTACAAGGGTCACTGAAGTCCGACTCCTGGCCTCTTTATGCTGTGTGCTCCAGTCACTGAACACTGAGCCACACTGGCAAAAGAAGTGGCAGACCTGACTTAGAAACCCTGTCTTTAAGATCCCGCCTGTTTCCCAAAGGTAAATTAGGCACTAGGATTGACCTAGATAAAAAGAAAACATCTGCTGTTAGCAACAGCTTCCTGAAATAGAAACATCATTATCCACCTAATAATAAGAGAGTATTTTTTCACATACTGTATTCAGCTCACACACCATGAAAAACAATTTATAAGGCTCTAATGCAACTTCAGCAAGTGTCTCTTCCATTTACATGAACATGCTGAATGTCCATAATATGAATGTATGCTATTACTGTCTGCTGAACTGATAAAGTTCAGAAAAATTATTCAACTGGAAAAAAAATGGAGTCATAGATCTGATACTCTCTGAGTTTCTGAATTTTCCTTACAGTTCAGTTTCCACCAGCATCTGCCACTTGTGGTCTATTGACATCAACTGAACAGTTCATGGAGCTAAGGGAAAACAACTGAAATGCTGAAAGAATAAACTAGGACTTAAATGCGTTTCTTATTCCTTACAGCTTATCAACAAGACATCCCGTAGCAACATAGAGAAGAACTCCAAAAGTCACCTCCCCTTTCCCTTTGCATCTTTTTGTCCTGCAACCTCAGAGTCATGCATGAAAAAGAAAATTACACACACTTACACTGATGCATTTGCACACTTCCAGCAAGACGTTTCCTTGTGGTGGTGTTTTTCTGTACAGTCCACTTCCAGCAATGAACACAACTGAAAAAATATTATAATCCAAATGGGGGTTCACATGGCTGAAGCTCAGTCCTGCACTAGCTTCTGGGAAGGATCCCCCAACCCTGCATTCAACAGAAATGTTCTGCCCTCAGGAAACACAGGACTGTACTTCTAACTAAATAAATATACAGGAGTCCTTTAATGGCTACAGATGGAAGAAAATGCAACATCCTACAAGAGGCAGTGTGATCCCAGAGAGTCACCATTGTCTTAACATCTGCTCTGGCACAACAGGCACCTCCACATCTGATTCATACTGGGAACCAAAACTTTGAAAATTCACTTTGTCTATGCTTTTTGTAGATTAAACTGAAGTACGATCCACGTTGAATTGCTGCACCTGATGCTGGAAATCAAACCTCACCCATTGGAAACCTGTGAGGACTAATCCAGATAGAACACAGGATCTGTGCGCTTGCACCTCACACACATTTCAGTGGAAACAGCCCAAAGATCCCTGCCTTACACAGAGATATAAACAAAAATTACCTCTATTTATAGTTTCCACAAAGGGAAATACAATTTAAGATAATGTTTTATCTTGGTTTTCTCCCTCAAAGCACAAAGAATATCAGAATGAGGCTTCAAAATTCTGTCAGAGATGGAGTTATCTGATTGTGTATCATTTGTCCTGCTCTATGAGAGTCTTTGAGCACATTGGAATTTCAAAGAGATTAGTAAGGAGAAACATCTTAACTTTTAAAACTAACCCTATTGTCTGGGTCAGTCCACAGGCAGTGAAGAATAGCAGGTACTTCTGTCCTAACACAGGAGGCCTGAAACACTGCAGGGAACTCACCTTTGCTTTTATCTGACCATGAACACCTTTCAGCACCCAGGTTTGACTTGCAGAACTTGAGAGACCTCTGAAGTCAGTTTAGGTGAGTAGCACTTTGCATTTGTGCAAAGTCAGAGTGGGTAGCTGCACTACCTGACCCTCAGCATCTCCCTCTGGAGATGTTGGTGCGTTTAAAAATGTGATCTGTTAGTTTTGCTGAAATACCTTCTGGCGATGCCATTGACTCCTTTGGGAGCTGATGCTCCTGCATTAGGTTTAGCATTTGGAATTAAACAGTATCAATCTACCCCATCCTTACAACCATAGCAGCCCAAACAATCTCCTCCTAAATCTGCTTCTAAATCTATCCTTGTTTTCCATCAACACAGGGAGAGGGCCAGTCAGGACTGAAAGTGTATTTTCTCCAGCTCTGCATGCTGCTCACATAGTCAAATATATCACTTCCCAGAGCATTTTAGCATGTCACAAAAGAACAGAGCTGCTTTGCCAGGCAGGACTTGGAATTTGGCAACAGGACACTAGCTAAAAACACATTTCCACCGATGCCCTCACTGAAACTGCAATATTTACACCTTCTTTTTCCCCTGGGCAACTATTGCTCTGCTAGAAACATTCATCACAGCATGGTGAACAGAGGAGAGAGCCTGTGTGGCCCTAAACTGATAGGAACAGGCCACAGGGGGAAATAGAACCTTCTCAGGACTGTGACCATGCACTTTTTTGAAAAAAATTGCTGCAACATTATCTGTGGCCTGATGACCTTTCTTCAGTTTCCTGATTCTTTTCCCTGATGGAAATTTGAGTGGAGACCGCAACATTCACATTCTCTGGGGGCAAACTTTTCAAATCCCAGATGCTGCAGTGAAATCACACAACTGCTTGGTCTCTCAGTGAAGGTAACAAGCTGAATGAGAAGTCACCCCATGCTGTGTCAAAAATTCACACATGCAGTGTAATAAGGGGACTGCTCTTCTCAGCAGTTTGCAGCTGTGAAATTAAAGCTACTAGGGTGTCCTCTCTACTGGCTATCAAGGAGTAACATGCTATGGAGTAAAAATGGGGAGATTGCTGAATGTTTTATAAAGGTTGGAGAAGAAGTCTTGACAAGTACATTAATGGGGCTAAGATGCAAGCATTAAAAAGCATGGGGATTGTGGCTGTCTCCTGACACTTGGATAATAAGGATTTCTTATTGCAACATAATAATAAGTTGTCACTGTAATTGTGGGAATTACTTCAGCCAAGCAAAGTAAGACAGCTCAGAACAAACTAACATTTCATTTAGCTCCTTCTGCAGCACACAGATTCAGTGGCAGAAGTCTGAGACATTAAAGATGGCCCTGAGCTGCAAGAAGCCCGTGGAAAGGTTAGAAGTGGCATGTTAAGCTTCTCTTCTATAAGCTGGGGGTCTCTGAGGACTGCTCCGATTGCAGTTCAAAGGCCATGCCTGCTCATAGGCAAAGCTGCAAACCATCAGGAGAATCATTTTGGTGCCTCCCTTTGCATTAGAGCAAAGCAATTATACTGTGAAACATCCATCAGAGCACCCCCTTAACAGTATCATGATTGCAGTAAAACCATGGTCTGCCCACCATCAATGAACTACTGATATTTATTGCTATTCTGAACTGGGGAATTGTTAGGTGACCTTGAACCCTTTCATTTCCCATCACAATATCCATCCAGAATTAATGAATTTGTGCACTTTCTCATCTATCCATGGACTCAAAAATGGTAACTCCTATTACAGGCATCACTTTTTCCACTTACCAAGCGCCAACACCATCAGTGCTGCTGGGACGCCAAAAGCCAGTGCATAACAATCCTCTCCAAAACATTTCACATCCCCTAAAAAAGAATTCAGAAATAAAAGCAGCTCATTACATCTAGACTTACGTTACCAGGGCTTTTGATTTGATTCCCTAAATCAGTCACTTCCCCGGCTTTTAAATCTTCTTTGCTGGTGCTTGACACTGTGAATTGAATCTCCTTGAAACAGTTGTCCTCCCTTGATGAAGACAATTTGGAAGCAGGGTTAGTGTCTGCCAGCAAAAGCAGCTGATAATGGGATATTGATGCAAATGGTAGAAGGGAGGGGGCAGACAAATAGGTATAATGAAGTACTAGGAACTGTAATTGGAAAAAAAAAAAAAAAAGTACAACATTTAAAATAACCTGAAGCCATTCTGTATTTGACTAGATCTAAATAACCAGTACTGTTTCCACATTCTTTGTGCCAGCTGCATCAGTCTTGAATGAAAAACCTGAATTTGATTTCATAGCGACCTACAGTGGACAAAGTGGAAGCCAATGCCTGCACCGTGTAAGTGGAGGCCCAGGATAAGCCTTAGAACTCCAGTTCCCTTTCTCACTACCATCATTCTCACTAGGGGCAGCCTGCTCCGAATGTCAGGTCTTGCAGCAAACCATTAGGAAGCTAGGTGTGCTACAGCATGGTTTGCATCAATCTGAGCTCTGGGTCACTGAAACCCTGTGCCTCTTGGACCAGGTCAGTTCTTGCACGGTGCTCCAGCTGCAAACAGCAAACCAGCAGTGGGCTCTGTGTTTGAATGTCAGGGGCAAGACATTACTGCATTCTTACATGGATAATGACAAAATGGCTAAAGCAAGCCAACAGAATTAACAGGAGACCAATCCATGAAGCCCTCAGCTGCTCCTGTTTGCTGTAGCTGGAAAGCCACAGCTACACAGCATAGCATAGCATTTATTTACTTATTTTCGGCAAATTAGCTGAAATCCAAAAAAGCTGAGAGCAACATTATGGGCATGCTGAACTTTTAACATGCCAAATGAGTTAAACTTCTCTACCTAAAAGTATATATTTCATATTTGTACCAAATGTCTACAACCTGCATTTCCTCCCTTCCAAGAAAAGATTTCACACTTAGAAAAAATATTACTCTTTCCCCATCCTCTCCACTTCAGTTCCATGTTGCAACTAGTTTATACTGGCACGCATTTTGATGCTTCAAGGGACTGGATTTTCACCTGCCCATTGACTACTTTAAGCAAAAGCCCCTCTCAACTGAATGCTGACCTGGAGACACCAGAGAATGAACAAGAGATACAGCATTTGTCTTTGTCTCTGTGCATGGTGTTAACATGAGACAAGAGCATGTTAAAATGACGCTCTATACAAACAGAGCTTCTAGAAGCCATGGAATGGAATGAAAAAAATGGCAACTAAATGTGAAGACTACCTTGTCCCTGTCCCCATCACCTATGGCCTGCTGCTCTGCCACTGTGTGTGTATTTAGAGCATGCCAATCCCTTTGGCTTCGAAGTGCTGCAATACAATGAAGGAAGTGCAGCAAGGCTCGGGGACTAAAAAGGGTTTTGCAAGCAGGCTGGAATATAAAGTAGGTCTTAAATGGGGCATAGGCCTGTGCTTTGTCTTCAAAGCTAGTTGCTCAGGGCAGCAATCTTGCAAGCAGACCCACGCAGACAAGCCTGAGTGCCAGGACAGAGACCTCCAGAATCAGCAGCACCCCGTGGGAGGGAGAAGGTAAGACTTTAAAACCAGTCCTGCTGTTTTTCAGCCCTGATACTGCACAGGACAGCAGAGCTCCTTTCCCATCCGTAGTATACCTGAAAGCAAGTCCTTCGCTGGCAGTGGGCAGTGGATGACCATACAGGTCCTTCCACCTTTCATGTTTTAATTCTGCAGTTCAGGCTGGCTTTGAAATACAACCAGGAGTATAATTTCTGTAAGTTGTCTGCCTGTATTATAAATCTGTTTTGCTGCTACAGCAGGATTAACAAGGTGTAAATGCAATACACTGACCACTCCACAGATAATATAATTTCTGCCATTCTGTTGTCATAAGAGTCTAACTATGCACAGCAGAGTAGTTAGATGGCAGCTAATTTATTGTTTTATTCTAAATCCACACTGACCTCTTAATACAGGAGTTACAAACGTGGAGATCAAACTTCCAGCATTAATGGATAAATAGAAGATGGAAAAAAACTTGCTTCTCTCCGAGGTCTAAAACAAGAGAAGACAATGTCAATGTCATGGCTAATGCACTGCATTGGGCTTGCAAATTGAACACTATCAATTCTCTCGTTAGGAAGGCTGGGTAAATATTGACACAAAGTGCATAAAATGTTAAGCAAACAAGCTTGTCTTCAGTTGATGGTAAATGCTCACACAAATCAGCTCACGTTACTTGAGAAGTGCTTTGGGGCTTTTTGGCATTTCAGAGGAAACGCTGCTGCTTTGAGAGTGTTGTGAGACTGGAAGGAGGGGAAAGCATTTACTTATTCAGGACAAGTAGCATGATTCAGATCCTTTGTCACCTAATTCAATCCAATTTAGCATGGTTTGACAAGCTCATAATTTCTTTCCATGTTTGAGCTCTTTTTTTTTTTTTTTTCCCTCCTCTCCTGTGTAGAAATAGAAAAAGAAACCTGTATATTTTAAGGAACTGCTAATCATAGCATAGGTGAAAGAGTGCCAGCAATTGATAAGTATCCATCAAAGAGGATACCACCAAGGTGAGGCCAATCAACCTCAAACTAATAGGGTAAATTAAATCTAGGGGAGCAAATTTAAGAGCCTGGTGGAGGGATGAACTCTAAGAGAAAGAGTTCTGAATTTAACCTAAGCTGTAACATATTGTAGCTTATAGAGTCAAAGAATTCCTGCCGATCTTCTTTCTTCCCGCATAATTCATAATTTGGAAGGAATCAAGGATTTGATGCAGAGCTTGGTCCCTTGTGCAGGAGTAATGTGTGTGTGCAGTGTCTCCTGGCTTGCAGGAGGGACATGCATGCACAGTCACACGTGTGCTGTATACAGTGTTAACCTCCTCCCCGAGCCTGGGTGGGCCAGCAGAGAGGGGAAACAAAAGCAGGCTACCTGACCCACCCTGTGCTCATGTGGATCAGCAGCTCTGAAACACCTGAATTGATAGACGTAGTGGGGAAAATTGTGTCAGACATGGCATGGTGCCTGGAAGAGAGCTTCTTAGGGCACCTTGAGCCTCCTCTCTATGACCTGAGCATTATTTGAATGCAAAGCTTTAATTTAGCTGAAACTCCTCAGGGACTGTTGTTCTGTCTCCTTTCCTTCTAATGTGTCCTGCTTCTGTGAGCTCCCTGAGACAACTATATTCACAAGGCTAGAAAACTGGAGAAAATGTGAAGAATTGCAGGCAGCTAAAAGAGGACAGCTGTAAAGTAATGAATCCTGAGCTCCAGAAACATAACAAAACTTCCTGTAACTGATGGTGCAGCCAACAGGAAATATTGCTACTTCAAATGGCAAGAAGCCTCTTATCTCAGGGGATTACTGCAGGGAAGAAGGGGAGGTGGGAGAGTGTGGGAGAGCTTCTCTTTATGTCCCCTTGTAAAGTGGGTAGTGAGAAGGTCAGGGTGAGAGCCCCATCACCTCCCACTGCCACCCACCAAGGAGTCTGGGGGTCTGATTACTTGGATTAAGGGCTCTCTGCCTTGACCCAGCAGTTAGGAAGACTTCATCAACTTGAGCTTTTGGCTTTTACATAATTTTATTTCCTAGAGTGCTCAAGAGTGACCCATACATTCCTCATAAATTATTTATCCTGGACTAAAGGATTTGAAAGCCCATAAAAATCATCTCAATGGCATGTTCTCATGGTTAATAGAAAACAGCAGTGGGTCTTACTATCTGTTATATTCCATTCCTTGCTGCTGGTTTTGATAACCCAGAACTTCCTACTGCTAAACTAGTAAAATTTTATTTTCTTTTTCATTCTACCTTTGTGACTAGTTATTTGTCATCATAGAGAAAACCAGAGAAATGAGCAGCTTAAGCAATCTTCCCCATTCCTGGATAGCCCTCCCATGACATGTCATGCAGTACAGCCCTCACAGCCCTGCCCTCTTCTAGCCAAACTGTCATGGCATGTCTCTAACCCTTCATATCTGACCAAATCAGAATTTCAGAGAGCTGTGATAAACTCAAGCATGCAGCTTTTGACATGATAAAGTCTAGAGCAACAATTACCAAAAAAAAATGTGGTGGTAAGAGAAGAGGGTAGTGATGCATAAAGAATTTGGACCACTTTATTTCACACATTTTCAGATTTTAGTGATGAAAAGAAAAATGGTAAGAGAAAAGCTGAAATAACTACAAAAATAATGACCCAGTAGCTTGCAAATTATACTGATTTGAATAAAGATTTTCCTCCCTATTGTCTTAATCTTTAGAGCAGACATACATTAACAACATGATTTGGATTAGCTAATTTGAGAAAAGGTACTGTATGTGATAATCCTGATCTCCTTGGCAACCAGAAAATAAAGAAACAAAGGAAAGCTATTAGCACCTTAAACACCATACTGCACTGTTTGAAAGCAGCTTTGGTCCCTAATTAATATGCGCAGCAGCTTCACATTCCTATAACATATTGTAAATATAATTTTGTTCAGGCATTTTTAACTTGGATTTCCAATCCCACAGACAAAGGCATTTGGAAATCTCCTGCAGATAAATCTGTTTTTCCTATTTGACCTCCTGCCAAATCAGTCCCTATCACTGTCTGTAGCAGTACCATTCTCAAAGTGGCAGATCCAAGACTATAATGTTCCTGAAGTACTTAAAAGAGGATAAGATTGATGTTGTACATTTACCTCAAAACATAAACTTGTGTCTAGGAATAGCAGGAGCAATTTAGTTATTTATACACAGAACTACCTCATCCCAAGTTTTCAAACAAAACTAAGCCTGTGCACTTAAGGACTCAGATTAAGTTTATTTGTGTCCTGAAAATTGAGGGGGAATCAAATGCTCCAGTTCATAGGGAATCTAAAAAACTTATTTCAGCCTACCTGGAGTGGAAAAAAAATAAAACATAAGGCGCCCCCAAACACCACTCCAGAGGAAAGAAATATTCTGGGTTGCCCCCAAACCTTTCATTCCTTACAAAACCAAAACTTCTCATTCCAATTCTGATGACTTAAACTTCCTATCACATAGCATAAAACATTTGTTTCTTCTGAAAGGCCAAGACATTTCAAAATGGTAAAATAGAAAACTTTCTATTTTGAAAAGAACGTTTGAAAAAGAACTAATAGAGCAGAACACATTGTTCTTATCAGAATGCTTTTTACAGTTTTCTTTCTCTAAATTAGTTTTTCTTGAAGGTAGCACACAGGTGAATGTTTGAGCCTTTGTACTTGATAAATTTGTTGGAGAGATGTAGTCTGAATGCTGGAGAATGGGTACAGGCCCACACAACAACAGGCAGTTCAGGTTTTCTCTCTGTAATGCAGATGTAGTTGTAAATTTGGAATAATAATATGTATGTGCCTGAGAGGGGTGCTGAGATTCATTAGCTGAAGTCTACAAAACACTCCAAAGATAAGTGCTACATATTATCATACTGTAATTAGGTGGTAATTGAAAGATGCTGGATAAACACTATTAATCATTAATATTCATAGAAGTAGCACTTGTGTAAATGCTGCTGTTGGACCTCTTGGAATTCTTTTGGGACAACTATTGGTGCAGCAAGCCAGGATGCCCATGCACTGGGATGCATACAGCTATCCCAGAGCACGTTCTGTGCTGCCAGCCTGCTTTCAGAGTTGTGCCAGCTGGGGAGGCTGGTGACCACCAGAGCATTGCTGATCCCCCCTCTGCAGCATCCCCTAAAGCACCAGGTGCAACTGACAGCACGTAGACACGCCTGCAGGAGGATCTGCTTTGGACAAGTGACTACGGAATGTTCCATGTTTTGTTACTTCCGAGTAATCCTAAGATTCATCACTTCAGCATCACTCAGCTCATGTGCAGGAAGCACTTCCCAAAGTTTTAAATTCAGTCTATACTATTTCATTACATGTTGACTTCATCCTGGGCATTGCAAAAGACAAGGAGAAAACTGCCCTACTGGGCTCTTTGTCCAAGGGCCAACTCTTATCCAACTTTACCGGTGCTTTTCCTGACACTCTATTAGTCTAATGTCCTTCTCTAATGCTTCCATTGATGGGAATTTCCATCTCCCAAAGGCCCTAGTATTTTCCATTATTTCTCTAGATCTATTTCTGGAAAAAAATTTCACACTGTCAGTCCTAAATAATCCTCCTTGATAAGCCTACTCACCACAGACCCTAACACTTATTTTCTTTTTTGTAGCAGTGGCCTTATACATATTTGAGGACTTATGACACACAGCTTGCTGATTTGAATACTTATCATTAAGAAAATATAAATTTTTATTTGTGTGTTAGGTCTACATAAATCTATTTAACTTGAAGTCAATTGAAAAATGTAGCATTTTTCCTGAGGATTAGCACTTCCTGACCTGCTTTGCTTCCTTAAGTACTACCTTATCCCTGGTTGAGCCCCTGTGCTGAATAATGGGAGTTTGAGATTAGTGCAGATGAGGGCTAAGCACTCATGACAGAGAATGAGGACACAAAGCACCTGGACAACAATTCACAGGATACACAGCACAAACACAGCTAAACAGAAACATTTTCTCAACTTTTCAGAAATTTCCAATCTGCAATATCCAGAAAACATTCTGGCATTACTTGCAAAAGGCTAGAATTTCCTGCAGTTCTTTCTGAACAATATCTGAGACTCAGACTATGACTGATTTGAGGAAAAAAATCCTACAGAAGCATAGGCTGCTGATAGTCTTTTCTTTCATTTGCACTATTCTTTCATTTCACAGTATTTTCTTTCATTTGCAGTATTCCACTGCAGTGCATTATAATCACCCCTGTTAAGCTGACTCGTGATATATACAATTCCGTGATATGCAAGACAGGATTTTTCAACTACTCTGATGTCCAATTAACATTTAAATGTTTAGATGCAATTATGACCTTTCCAGTATCAATCCTGTTCTGCTGTCATTTTGCCTTCTTGAAGCATCTAGATTCTTTCAAGTCTTATGCAAACCATCCTATCTCATGTGTTACTACATCTTTTCTAGCAAACTGGCCCGTATTCTAAGCACAACTGGATTTTGATCCCATAAACATCCTCACAAAGTAAGCAGACACTGCAGATTTTAGGAAAGAAGTCTTACATGTTCTTCTTCAAACTGGTCCCCACCAAATGCAGAGACACAGGGCTTGATCCCTCCTGTTCCAAGGGCGATCAAAAACAGACCAACCATAGACAGGACCCTTCATGCAAGAACAAAAATATCACCATTGCAAAATATTTCCAGTGCTTATGAGAGCATTTTAGAAACACGATTCCTCTGATAATGTTGTCTTTTGCACACAAGTAATAATGATGAGCCAGATAAACAAACAAATTAAATATCCTATTAATTTGCAAAACAAATTAATTATCTGTACCAGTCTATTAACCAATCTGGTTTTGTCAGTTTCTTCTTGTTCTGAGAGCCAATGGACATATAGGAGATCAATGATCTAAGGAATAGTTTTTACTCATATGACAACAAAAGATTTCAGAGATCAGTTAAGAAAAAGAAAAAAACAAAAAAGGGGAGTAGTTTTTGCAGCCTTCTAGCCAGAGTAAAAGCAGACAAACTGTTTGAATTAGGCTTATTCTTGTGTGCTTTCTACTTCCCAGTGGTTTTCAAAATACCATTGTTGGCCTGACAGATTATGTCTCTAGGGAACAAGAGTATCAGCACTGGCCAGGTCTGGGACAAAGAAAACTTTCTGTAAACAACATGTGCTCCTGCCTGCATGGGCATATTTTTTAAGCCATGACCACACAGGCAAAAACAGCTTGGTGGTTTCAGAGACAACACCCTGACAAGCCTATCAGTTCAGAATGTAGAGGGCAATATCCTGTGGAAGAGACAGACTCTTCCCCTGTCATAAGAAAATGTATTTCAGTTTTCTGTGCCCATGCACCTGGGGGAACCTTGCTGAGCTGTGCTGATGAAATGAGGGAGGAAGGAGCCTGGTGTAGGCAGCTGGATGGAGGAGACAAATCAGCATGGTACAGCAGAGAGGGGTGATCCCCAGTGCCTGTGTCAAAGGGGCTAGAGTCTGTGTGCTGATTTCCAACTCCATCTGGCATATTCACACACTAGATCCACCCTTCTGCTCTTACTCAGACATTCCTAACCCTTCCCTGATGAAAGTAATCCATGCACAGCCCCCAAAATGCTGGCCTGATGGAAGTGAAACAAATTTCAGACTTGGGTTATCTAACTACCATCACAACCTGCTACAGCACTATGGCTCCAAGGGCTACTTACACATGAACTGCCTGGTTGCCCAGGGATGGAATGGCACCGACTGACTTTATCAGATGGCCAACAACATACACAATGGAGAGGTAGATGATCGTCCTGTGAGGAAAGCAAACAGCAGTGACTGAAGATGCTGGATGATGTACAGTCTGAAAACAGTGTGCTCATGTACCCTGAGGTGGCAGCTCTACTTGGCAGACACACAAGGAACTGGTTTATTCTACCAATGGTACAGTGGGCAGCTATAATTCCTTTGTGTCAACACTGAGTGCACTAGAAGGAATAGATATGCAAATGGGTTCAGATTAAGGAGGGATAGCCCCTGCTTTATTTGTAGACATTACTGAGCAGAATAAATGAAAAGTGTTCCAGTCTTGTCATGCATGGAAGACTGCAAAGAGAAAAGCACTGTTTAGGTCCAACTCAGTTTCCAGATTACTAATAACCAGCAGTTTGTAGGATGTGCATAAGTGAATCCTTGACTGGAAGGGATGTATAGAGACTGTTGCCCACATTCAACCCACCTAACAAACCTGAATTAGGAGTGTGGTTTCCTCAATGTAAATCTGTTTTGGGTCCCAAGTATCTTTGAAAGACTGAGCTCATCTATCTGCCTTCCATGTGTTGGTGAGGGAGAAGAAAAAATATGAGCAGGATGATCAGACTCTTGAGTGTATTCTATTCCTTCTATTTCTTCTAGATTAAGATAAATCTATGTATTCATGTGCTAAAGACATGTACAGAGGGAATCAAAGGACTTGTAGAGACAGAAACACTATAAGTCTTATGAGCTTTGAGCATGGAAGAGGTCCCTGATGTATTCAAACACTGGTTGCAACAGCTAATTTAGCACCACATCACATCATTCCTAAAAGCCCCTCTAATCTGTTATATTGGCTAAGGTCCAGCTACTACAGCAAAAACCACTTCCCAATAAATTATAGGGATTACTCCAAGGAAAGTCTCTTGCAAGAGAGTGTCAAGCGTCTGTATTAGGATTTACCTTCTCACAACATTGTGCTGCAAGATAGACATCTGCAAATACCAATGAACATTGCTAGGTGACCTTAGATAATGAATTTAATAAAGCCCCACTGTTATTTTCTTCATTCAAAGGGACAAGAAAATGACTAAAACTGAGCACAGAGAAAAAAAGGACACTGATAGCACCTTAAGAACTTTCTCCTGGATCAGCATATGACAGCTGTTTATTTCCTCTTGAGACTCTTCTGCCAGATAGACTTAGTCCTAGAGAGAAGAGTTCAGCTGCACTTATCACCCTGACAGCCAAGACTCCTCAGACAATGAAAAAACAGTGCCAAGCAAAGAAAGTCCTATATCAAGCTGCTCATCACCACTCTGGGGCAGATGTTGGCTCCACAACTTCTCATCAGAAGGGAAGACTGCCTAAGGACTCTTACCCAGGAAGAGTTTACCTGGTTATGTGCTACTGGAGATGATTTGAGAAAACACAGGTTTCTTGGGCATAAATGTGGATGTGCTGCCACATTACCTATGCTGTGAGAAGTGTAAGTACATTACAGTTAGTGACATTTCATCTGAATCTGTGAGATCTACATGATGACACTGCTTCCTCACTCTCTTTGAATCCTTCTCAGAAGCAGACCTGAGCACACTGAGGTTTAATCACCCTACACCTCAGCTTCCTGAAGTCAGGTAGGGAAGGACAGTGGAGGAAAAGGGTTATTGTAACATTTAATTTGTCCCAACTTTGTTGCCTACTGGCCTTTGGGTGTTAGACAAGCACAGAACAGCACACGCAAACAGATCAGCTCTATTAACAGAAAGGAGCTGACCTTCATAAGTGTGTCTTTGCTGCACTCAAGCCAGCTCAAAACTGGGAGCACACACAGCACTGTCCTTGCACAGGCTGCATGGTGTCAATGCGTGCTGGCTGAATTAGAGAGATGTCTTCACTTACTTGTACTTCCCCAGCCATGAGTCTGCCATGATGGCTCCGATAACAGGTGTGAAATAACACAACGCAGAAAAGGCATGGTACACAGCAGTGGAGAGATTCTCATCCCAGTGGAAGTAGCTTAAGAAATACAGTGTCAGGACAGCTTAAAGGAAACAAAAAAAGAAATCATATCAGATAATTAATGTGTATATCTGCAGGTAAGCAGGATCATGGTGGCAAGAAAACTACTGATTTGTCTAGCAACTGAGCAGTGCTGTGGAAAGATTTGTGCTTCCAGACCTGTTCCTCATAATCTCTGACACAAGAGAAGCTAAATGAGGTATATGAGTATCTGACATCCTTTGCTCATAAACATTTATGTTTAACTGAAAAACATATTTTCTAGCTTATCTTACCCTAACCTGTAGCTCTGTTTATGCTCATTTTCTATTTGCAGATTAGGTGCCTATAAGATTCAATTCCCAAACACATTGATTGCACATCAACTATGAAAGACATCACACAGTAGAAAACCGGGTTTGATATATAGAGAACTGTATAATAATTTAGACTGGAAGGTACATTTGGCATCCTCTAGGCCAAACTTCTCATCATAGATATAGCAACAACGTTAGGGTACACTGTTCATATATGCATTCCAAAATATCAATTAACTTTGAAAGACAGCTGATACTATGCACAGCACAGCTCAGAAACACCAATCCAGTTTGTGTAAAGACCTCAGGATGGGAAAGCCAATCCCCAGACATAGGCCACATACCTCGCATGCCATAGTAAGAGAAGCGCTCGCAGAACTCATTCACCACAATGAAGGCAATGCTCAGGGGGTAGTTGGAGCCACAGAGTTTCTGTGGGAGACAAACAAGAACATATCAACTGTCAAAGCCTTCACCCCAGCAATGTATGTCCACAGCATCTGGGTGGTGGAAAGGAGCCCAGTCCAAAAACCAAGCGCCAACAGGTGCTTGACTGGCCTGTGAGTTGGACTCAAAGGAGAGAGTGGACCTCACTCTACTCTGGCTTTGTTTAAGGCTCCCATGTGAATCAGCCTGGCTGACATTGGCCCAGTAAGGACTGCCATGGGGATTTGTGGGCTGACAGCAGCCCACCATGCTTGTAGCTCCAGGAACTCCAGGAACTGGAAGGATGCTACCAACTCTCAGCATCACTGAGACAAAAAAAACATGTTTGGATGCCTTTTCTTCTGCACTTCATGTACAGCTACCACCCTCCTCAAAACTGCTCCCTCTTCTAGTACCAGACCTTGCCTCAGAAACTGGGAGACCTCAGGGATCTGCTATCTCCTCCCATGTGCGAAGCTGCTACCTGTCTCAATCTCTGCTCCTCACTTGTGCTGAGTTGTGCCACCACTCACTGAAGCAGAGCATCAGCCCTCTGTCCGGAACTCCCTCAGGCATGGCATCCATTCCATATTCCAAATTTGCTGGCATAGCTATGAATAATTCAATTTATTAATCAGAACTTTAAAAAGCTCCAGCAACAGGACTGTCAAACCTGTCTAAGTGTGGCCACTCTTTCACTGAGCCTGACTTTACTCCATCTAACATCAGCACTTCCCAAGTGAAATACAAGGCATTCAACAGATGAGTGTTGGCACAACCTTGTGTGGGCCTCTGTCCCTCTTGCTGCCCCACAGTGGTCTGAGCTAAGCAGCTTTCAGCTTCCAGCTGCTTAGTAGCTGCACTGCCTCACAACAGGAAAGCAGGTTTTCACAGCACTGCCCAACCTCTGCCAATTAGCAGGAGAGAGAGAGGCTGGCCATAGATTTGGTGAGGAATCTGGGGGGAGTGTAATATTAACAGACACTACTATACTTATAGGTTTAAACAGCCATGGTATGGGCCAGTGAAGTGAGATGAACTCTTCACATCCATTTCTGTGACTCATGTAGGAAATAATGAATTCCTGTACTTCTTCCCAGAGTCCCAAATGCAAATACAGTACCAAAATAGATGTGTTTATTCAGGTTTATTTCACCACCAAGAGACCTAAGCTTATTTGGATTCCCAAAGCAATGTCATCAAGTTTAGAGGAGTAGCTTAATGACACTGTCTTCCTCAACATTATGAAAGAGCAACAAAACAGAATGATTGTAAAAAATCAAAACTCCACAACTCCCACCTCCTCACTACTTTCCATTACTTAATCCTCCAAAGACAAATATTTTTGTCCATTTTTACATATAATATATATGTATATATTTTTCTCACTAATTATGCGCTGCCTTTTTATAAGAAAACCTTGACCTTTTTGCTTTACAAATAATAAATTTACAAATAAATAAATTACAACAAATACATAATTATCAATTTCATTTATGATTTACTCTGAAACCATTGTGCTCAGCAATATGGCTTGTAAGAAAGAGTGGGCTCCCTTGGAAACTGCACTGGGGCCTCCTGCTTTTAGACTAGCCTAAAAATGGTGGCATATATAAGCTGTAAATGCATAAACACACAACCATATGCACACACAAAATATTTTCTTCAACAAGTTTTTCATAATAAAAGAAGAAAATCCATAATAGGCAGATTATGTTTTGTGTGGGTGCTGGGAGTAATTTTATGAAAATGTAAGTAAAATTGTACAATAGGGATTTTTTTCTTCCTCTCCTTCCCAGACCTCACTATACATACTCATGGCATTTAATACCACTTGGTGGAGATGCAGAGAGTCACTGTCCAAACTAGGTGGGCAGGTCCAGGAGCGCTGCTGCCTGAACTCACCCCTCCACACCCAGTGCACAAGTCCCAGTGGATTGATCTGCACTGGTTTAAGGTGCAGTAACTCACTTCAGCCACTCCTGCTGTGGACTGGGCACCTCCTACAGACAAGCAGGGGCAAGGAGGGAAAAAAAAGCAGGAGGCAGTGACTTCCCAGCTAAACCTTCCCAAGTTCCTGAGCCACGACCCTGAGTTAGTGCTTACAAACACAGAGCAACGACTTACAAGGGAGGGTACTTCCATCTGGCTTTTGTGTCATGAGATGGCATCAGCACATGCAGAAACCCTCATGTATTCTCTCCACTGTATCACTGACCTGCCTGTGGCCTGCCTGGACATCCAAAAGTGGGAAGCTTTCATCCATGCGGAGAGCCAGATGCAGTTTGCTCGCTTTCGCGGGGAGGATCGTGCTCAGCAGAGAGCCCCAGCAAAAGCAAAGAGGTTAAGCCTGGATTCGTGAACGCACAGATAGTCTGCAGTGCTTAACTACCACAGCAAGCCTGGGATCTGTGGGATTATGGATCTCTTAAAGATACTGTGGAAGTAGATAGACTGTGTATTTGGAAAAAACAAAGTTCATTTAAAGAACCCACTACAGGAAACATTTGTTTTCAGCTCTCCTTCTTGCTGACTAATGGCAAAATGGGATAAAGATTAATATTTCCCAGGAGCTCTGGATATCCAGTAGTTAATGTCTGCACGGTAATTAAAATTGAGTTAAACAGTTGGTTTGCTAATGACATGACTGTGAGTTTTAAAACCAGGTATTACATATTATCCTGCAAGTCAAAGTAGTTGCAATATAAGCCAAATTCTTCCTGAATCCTATGCAGTGAACAGTTTTTAGGGGTCAAGCACTCAACAAGAATTAGCCTGAAAACCTGCATAAACATCAAAGCTGCAAGGCAGCAACACATTCACCTGAACGAGGCATTAAATCAGAGCCAATTATGTAAACCCAAGGCTCTGGCACTACGGCTGGCCTCTGTAACACTCACCAGTGGCCTGTCTTCAATCCCTGTCTTTCCTTCTGCTTTTCAGCATCTGGGTACCCTTCCCTGGTGGGTTTCATCAAACTAAACAGAGTTAAGCTCCCTCCTTCCTATGCACAACAGCCCCATCCACTTCAGAGATGCAAGTTCCTTCCCACAAGGAAAGTAGTGTTCAGGAAAAAGGCAATAAAAACTCTCACCCTTTTCCCCAAACATTCAGACAGTTTGTGTTTTCCCTTTAAGCTTCACTTTCTTAACTTAATCAGGTTAGTGGGGGGATTTTTGCCTTGAGTTGTTAAGGCTTATTTCAACCCTCAGCAAGAAAGGGTGTTTGTCTCTAGCCAGAGCACAACAGAGGAGAGAACAGAGAGATCTTGCAATGTTTAAAACAAGCTGAGCAGAAAGCAAAGCAAAGGAAACCAGCAGTAACACTTACCGGTGATTTTTTCTGAAGAGGGAAATCTCCTTTGGGGGGATCATCTCCTGCAGAAATAAAAGTGAACAAAGTTTCCTTGGATTCGTTTCTCTGAAAAGCGTTCATCTCCCCTCTCGCCTTGTCTCCCACCATGCTATGTGGCTGTGGTGAGTTGACTGGGAAGATTTCCAACCTCAGGCACGAAGTTTGATTCAGTTTGAGTTAACCCTAATTGAGCACATTTGTGCAGCCAGGGCAGAAAGGGGAGGGAGATGCTACAGGGAAAGAAAACTCCAGAGTTCAAGAGGAGTCAGGGAACACAGCCTAAATCAGTCACAGGTTGGGGCTGTCAGCACTTCATGGCACAGACCTCCCTGTTGTTTGGCATGCCCCCAGCTATTGTATGTGCACCAGCCCAGCACAGCGCTGGATGCTGCACAGATGTGAGTTGAATAAAAAATCCCAGGTCCCAGATACACCTACAGTCTGCAGATTTAGGAGCAGAGTGTGCATCTCCTTCCCAGCGTGGTAATGACAGGTGTACTCTGCAGGGATCTCATTTCACTGGACAGCCACACATTCCAAGACATAACTACTAAAATGTTCATCACACCAAACCCTTGGACACTGGATGTCACAGATGCCTGCACTGTGTTAAATCATTTCTTTGCTACGGCAGGAATGAAGTGACTCGGGGTTTGTTCCCACACCAATTCCGTAGAATGACCTTGCCTTTTCCCATGGGACAGTTTAATCAAGGGGGCACCCAGAAGCAGCCCAAACCCCTCTCTCTACTTTCTGTTATCCAGAAGACCACTTTGGGGCTCCATATGTGACAAATGCAGCCTATCTCTGCTGGGAGTGCCTGAATTCCCCCTGCAGCTACGTGGGCTCAGTTCCCTGCAGGTACACTGTTTTCCCTCCTTCCATGATCTTCCCATGGCAATAGTGGAGCTCTTCATCAGCACTCTTCGTGTGCCAGTTGCAATTGCAGAGCAAAACTCACAACCTTCCCATAAACTATATTCAGTGCTTGTGGCTGTGCTGAATCCTCTGTGCAGTGCTGAGGTTTTTTCTTCCTCCTAGACTTGGATTCTTTAAAAGGCAAATATTCAAAGAATTTTCCCAAATATTTCTCCCTTCTCTTATCAGTAATGCACAGACCACACCCGAAATCCACACCTGATAGAAGGAGTCCGCATAAACTCATCCTTAGTGCAAGTAGTGAATTGCTGATGGTACTTGGTTATCACAAGAACCAGGTTTGCAGCTGATGCACCAAGAAAGAGGCCTTTGGCAGCACCACAGATCCTTAATCTGGCTTCAGTTATTTCTAACAATACATGGAGAACAATTACACAAGGCAATCAGATGTGATGGACTGCACAGAGAAAGTATCATTACGATCCAGAGCACTATTAGTGCTCTGGCATTGCTTCCTCTGAAAATCCCGAGATTCTATTTCACTCCTGCTAACTAGGCAGCTAAACAGGGGGTCAGCTGGGCATCTGACTTGAAGGCCAGACTTCAGGTAGCGCCACAAAATTCTATCCCTTCCCTGTTCCTTTTTTCTTCTACAGCAGTGGCAAAACAACAGTTTGGTACCTCCTCTGTAGTGCCATAAACCAGCTCCTTGTATTCAGCCCTCCCAGCGACCTGCACATATGCACAGTCTTGCTTTTCACCTTGGTGCAGCCTCCAGGGAGCTCAGGTTTATCAAGCCCTTTTCATGGGCATGACTGCTCAAACGCAGAACAGGTTATTCACGTGGGTCCTGTCCCTACATACCAGCCTGACACATACTCATGTCCTGCAAGTCTGACCCTGTGCTAGAGGCGGCAGAAATATTTCTGAGCCCTCTGCTGGTATCTCATACCGCAGGTATTTCTATACAGCTCCCAGTAGAAACCTCTGTATTCTGCCATACTCAGACAAGCAGAGCAAACACAGCGGCAGAGTTATTAAAGGAATAATACAAAAGACAGGAAAGGTTTCACCATCCATTGCACAGCACTCCCATGCTGCTGCAGCGTGATGCCTTAATATTTTCAGCCTCCTGCTGCTGTATTTCCTCTGTGTGTATGCAGCCCCATGCATCACATAAGCTAAATGATTTTTTTTTTTTTTTTGATACTAGCATGAAAAACCCTATCAGTCAGTAGGATTAACATACTACTTATCTAATACACTGCAGAGCTGTTTGGGCCATTAGCTGCCAGAAGGTCTTCTCAGACAGAAAGGAAGAAAAGTAATTCAAATGTCTGGCAATAAATGGTAACTTGTAGCAAACAGCACAAACAGGTTTAGGAGAATAAATTTGCAAGCACCTCAGATACAAATACAGAATAATACTTGAAAAAAGGAGACGTGTGCAACTGGACTGAAAATCAGGAAGGAATTGTATCACAAATGGAAATAAGATGGCATTTCTGAAGACAAGTATAGACAAACAGATCAAACAGAGCAGTAGAGGTGTGCCCTCAAAGCTAAGGCACAAAATGAACTACAGCTAGCAAGGGCACATAAAAGGCAATAAGAAAAGGTGTTAGAAATGCTGTCAATATTGGAGAAAGAGGAAGGAAAATGAAAAGCTGTTATTTAAACCAGAAAACAAGCAAACAAAAGCTCATCCAGAGAAGCCAGGAAACTTGTGTCCTTTCTGTTATTTTCACTAAAAAAATAAATTGCAACAAGGTATGTAACACCTTTGAAATGAACCAGCAGGAGTACATGTGAAATGAGACAAAAACTGTTTAAATAATATTTGGATATCTCAAATGTGCTCAGATCATCAGAGCCTGATGAAATTCACCTTCAAGTGCTGAATACCATACTGAGCCATTTCTGTTGTGAAGGGCAAAAGCAGAACAAGCATCACCACTTCCTTTAAAAAAGCAGATTGTTCCTCCAGGAGTGTTCCTCCATAGCAAGAGAGATACTTGATCAGATAATACCTTCTAAGCACCAAAAGGAGAATAAGGACTACAAAACAGCCATTTCAGATTGGAAAAAATGCTCTCAAACCAGAGTGTTTTATTCTTTGGTAAGTGGAGTAACAGCTAGTGCAGCTCTGTATGTGATATAACCTAATTCTAGTGTCTCTGATCTCTCACAAGGAAATAGGGTCCATATGAAATGCCAGTAATAGTGGACAACTAGGAAATCCCTCTAAGAGTATTAATGATTTTCCATCAGATTAGGAAAGCATGAAACATGCAGGTCCTCCAGCTTTTCCATGAGCAAAGAAAACCTCAGCACAGCCAGCATGGTGCTTTTGTTTGTACTCAAAACCTGGGTGAAGAAACTTGGGGGACAACAGGGTATGAATCCAAAATGGTGTTGCAAAATGGGAGAAACCATTTTACAACCCTGGAACGAAAATTATGAAATTTGGGAAAGAAGAATACCAAATGCTACTCCTTTCCATTGACAGGAGAAACAGCCAGAGAGATGAACTATGGTCCGTTTTTGCTGAGGATGAGAGAAATAACTGACTTTTCCAGTAAAGAATATTTGGAGCTCCTTTTTCCAATTTCCCTTTCAGTGAGGACAGATGAGCATTGGAACAGAGATGGTGTGGCTCGGCCTGCAGCGTTCATACAACTCATGATGTCTGTTATATAAGAATGCATTAGGGACTACATAAATATCTGGTCCTGTCCCAGATCAGGCATATGGATGAGGTGCCCTCCTGAGTTTCTGCAAAAATCTTGTGCCAAACAATTTTACCTGGCAAGCATGAAAGCAAGGACTGCTTTCTGGAAGATTTTCTCTTTTCTGAATTATCCTTTATGCAACTGGGGAGTCGGTAGGATGATTCATACTTAAATGTTCTATTCAGCTACCAGATGCCTTGCATAGCCAGAAGTTCCCATGAATACATTTTGCTATAACTTTCAGTTCATAATTTAATTTTCTTCTGGTTCCCAAACTCTCAGAAAGAGAATCTGCATTTTCATGTTGCTTTTACAATCCTCACATTCTCACCATTCCCTGCTGCAGTACTGTGCACCTTCATCTGTTTATACTCAACTAATCTCTTCACTTTTGTCTGCATTCATGTCATGGTACAATCCCTTCCTAATTTTCAGCTCAGCCACACTTGTCTTTTAATAGTGAGTCTTATTTTTAATTCATATACACTAGCCATACTTTTATAGCTGTTTTACCATATATGTATTTCTCCCCTCTCTCTCTCTTTCTGAGATAAGGTTTTAAGAAACTAGATGAATATGTGGCAGCAACACTTTGGGCTTAATGACCAGACCCTGCAAGGACATGATAACCTCTGAAGGTCTCTTCTGGCTTATTTTCTCCAATTCTTTGATCACAAGAAAGAGCAGGGCTTAACTGATTTACACAGATCAAGAGTGGTTTCCATTGCCTGAAGACTTCTCCCAAACTTCAAAGTAATTTAAGAAAATAATGTATCAAATCATTTGAACAACCAGGAAAATACTCCAGAAGCCTTCAAACCCACACCTCTCCTCTATTCACCAGCCATTACAGATGGAAAATTGTGAAGGTATCTAGATTAATACCACTAACAATATCAAGTACCTAATCTGTACTTAAGAGCCTGTCATCTGGCCACAACCAGAGAAACTTGTCATCCTTCCTTGTGCCTTTTTGCCTTCAGTTTCTCCTACTATCAGCAAGAAGAAATCTTTAAAAACTTCCTCACCAGCTTGGGCTTCCTTTGCGGGCTGTGATGTGTCATCCCTCGCTGCCATTCCGCCTGCTTCTCGTGCCTTGGATGACCCCAGCTCTGTTGTGCCTGAAGATGAACCTCGTTGAGCAATCCTGGCTCTCTTTCACCCTGCTGTTAATGTTTCACTTCTCAACAGCAGTCCTTTGGTCACCAATAAAATAGTTAAACTTCCATTTATTTTTGATCTGAAGTCATCTCTGCTCAGCTCTCAAATGTCATAGGGAATCTGCCTTTCTTGAATACAGCCTCTGAGGCTGCATGGCACCTTTCATGGATGTTCACAATCAATCACTCCACACTGCAGCTACACTATCTTTCAATAAAATTACTACTTCTGGTTGAGGATAGGGACTGGCT